GATATTGCTGGTCACAGTTGTATGATGGTTGACAAACAAGGCTCGGCTCAACTGGCATTGGTTCAAGCTTGATATTGTTTTTGGGACAAAAAGAAAAGGGGATATCGTTGTGGCCAGACACGAAAATTGCAGCGTTTTTTTAATCAACGTTTCGTCCTTTTGTGGGTTTTTTGAAGTTTAGGGTATAGGGTCAAAAGGGACTTTGTTCTGAAATTTCTGGTGCCAGGTCGTGCCGAGCCCTGGTGACAATGTGCTAGGTGCTCTGGCATACATGGAATGTCAACGGACCAGAGTTGATTTCGATTCTGAACTTAGTCAGGTAAAGGTAAGGTCTAGGGAGAGGCTTGCTAAAGGAGATGGCGAAGAGTGCGTTAATCTCAGAGATCATACATCGTCAAAAAAATCATTACAAATAACTCACTACCACCCTTCAAATCCTTGCTGAATGTGTTGACAACGTTGAGCACATCTTGCTGAATTATCAGCTCTTTCTCGCACGGCTCTCCTTCGACGTAGCTTTTCCTAAGCACTTCCATTCAGCCTTTAACGCCCATAGTTTATAAAAACTCACCAAAGGTCTCTAAGTTCTACTTGGGCATAGTCGGGAAGTGTGGCTATATTGCTTGGCAAACCGCATTTCTCTTCCTTACTCTAAAAATTGCAAGAGTAGCTTGAGTGGAGGAATGTAATTTCGTTCGTGACTTAGAATATAGCCAATACCTTCTCAGCCATCACTTCATTTGCAGTCAAGAACAAGAGCACGTAAACGAACGGAGTCATGCTGAGGAGTTTGCCGAGACTACTAGCTAGTGAGCGATGACAGAAGAAGGAATACAGTCCAATTAACGTGCAAGCTAGTATGAGTGGGTGGTGAACGGAATATGGCGGTGAGTCCAGACGAACCTGTCTCCTCAGCTCGACGGCCGGTTACTCGATGACATAACCACAGAGCAAGGCCAAGCCTGTCGGCGTCGTCCAGCGTTTTCACTTTCTTCAAGGAAGTCACACTCGCTGATTTCGTGTAAACTATTGTCTGCTCTAGAACACATTCAGCAGTTTCTAAGTGGTTTTATGAGACTCTGTGAAAGGAATCTGTGATTTATGTGTCGTAAACGATCAAGCTGATCAACAAGTGAAGTCGTTATATCGCATTCGCTACATGGTGTGTTCTTACGTATTTTGGGTTTGTACAATTCCGGGAATTGGGAGCCGCCCGAGAAAACCTTGGAGCGAAAAAAGTAAAGTGGATTTCAGTAGGGTTGTTACAAAATTTGGAAGAACAGCGGGAGAGGGAAGAATTCAGGCAGTGAAACAAAAACGCTTTTATCCTTGTGGTTGTGGAACGTCAACATACTTGATTTTTACCAAAATAATGGCGTATCCCAGTCCACCGTAACAGAGTGAGCTCCAAAAATTCACGCCCTATTTTATAGAGCAGAGAATGTTCTGCGAGGCTCTATCAGTGGCTCGGTAATCGCATCTTCTGAATCGAAGAATGACCTATACAAATTTGAAATGCTCAAAAATCTGATCTCAGCTACAGATGACCGTACGAAAATCCTAATTAGACGTGCACATAGAGACGTAAGAAAATCCACATGTATTTCTATGTATCTTTATGGCTCAAGATTGAGAAAAATGGGACAATTAACAGTTGCTTTACTCGATCTATCTCCCCTATGCATATATTTTTATTTTTATTTTACTCTACAATACATTTGATAGGTGTGCCAAAAAACAAAAAGTAAATACAGAAAACAAAACACTAAACTAATGTGATAACCAGTCCTATCTGGGTTATGAATCTGAGGTAGAGGGAGGAAAATCAGACTCAAACCATACAATACAGAGCCCCGTCGACATGATTATGCGCTATATACTAAATTATGTATGCGCTATATATACAATATACACAATATATATGCGCGCTATATGCGCAAATATACTGAATATTTTCGATAGTACGATGTATACACACTTGCAGAGTTTTAGTTCAAAAACCGAAATAAAAGCGCTATCATCTTTGTGAGGATCCAAGAAGATTGGTTTTGCTGCATAGGTCCACAAACAAAATAAACTTGTATTCTCCATTCCACAGAAGAGCTTCTATGTTCGCTCCACTATCTCACAGAAGTTCAACGAAGTCCTTATTATTGTAGTAACAACGAGTTGATTGAGCTATACGGGGAGCGGCGCCTCGTTAGTTACTGAGAATGCAAAACGAAGTTAACGGTTTTGTTTCGGCTCGGCCCGGAAATATCCTATGCTTGCATGTCCACCTGGACGGATAACACGGTAAGAA